AAAAAATAAAATAAAAATTTAATATTAAAAGGAAATTAGTAGTGAAAGGATACATCATTACTTAAAAGAAAAATATAGCAGTGAGTTTTAGGGAATTTAATCTCAATTATGTCAATTCCATAATATATACATATTTAACTGCTTGGGGATACAATAAAAAATAACAAAATACCCGCGATGTTGTGTCTTATTATAGCCATAGTATCCGCTGCCATATATGATTCTCGAATAACATGGATGACGCAACCTCACTATAAGGAATTTGCCATAAGAGGTTTTTGCAATCAAATTTCAACTTGAAGAAATGAGAATTTTCTCATGTTACATAACACATTATCAAATGTGTTTTGCAAGAATACATTTACAAAAAAAAAAATGGAAACTAAATCAATACCTCAAAAGTATATTATAATGAAATTCACCCACAATGAGGCCAGTGAAACCTAGCAATTAAACTGACAGCAAAAGTTATGAAGCCTGTAGCAAAGCTCAAATAAAAGTACAGTTAAGTAGGTAGAATAGAATTAATAGCAAGTAAACTTTCTTTAAAAGATCTCTTTATACTAATTCAAAAATTAAAGAAGCATTTCTTGTCATTATCCAATCTATCTTTCTATGCAAAGTGCTGTTCTTGTTAAGTATCTTTTAGACCATGTTCAAACTTCCTTCACCAACACATAAATGCTCTTATCAATTCATAGTCACTAAAAAGTCAATGTAAAAAGTAGTAAAGTCAATAATGAATCCTAGTATCCTACATATGTATACTTTATACTGCTGGATGATTTTGCATCTATACTTGTAAACAAATTCCCAATTCTAACCAACTTTAACATATGTAATTATGTATGGCATTTTACATGTTGCATTTTGTTGTCTCCATGATACCTATAAAGGAGAAGGAAATAAACAGAGGCAAGGTAAAATGGTAAATCCCATAGCCTTAGGTTTACGTGCATCCAAGAAAATTCAGTTACAAACTATTGATTAGAAGATAAGGAAAATTCTAAATAATCAAAATGTTTTTTGCTCAGAAAAACAGAGTTACTAACCAAAACCACAAGTACAAGGGAGTCAATGAGCAGTATCACTAACAAGTATTATTTAATTGTAGCAACATACAAACTTTTCAACGACTTTAGCGTGCATCACCCATAGCTTTATATCAATAACAATTATAACTGAGAGTTCTCCACCAACCAGTTTGATTTGTTAACTTCTTGCATGTCTACATAAATTTGCATTCTTTCAGAGTAATCGTTACAAAAAATGGAGAAGGAACCTTATTACATACCAAATCTTACAATTAAATTTTTTAAAAAAAAGTCCATCCCATATATCAACTATTAGGATAGTGTGAAAATCATTCAAAAACAGTTATAATTAACTAATTTGTCTTGCGCATGAGATAATAATTGTATAAGCAGAAAGTTAAAGCCTGAGCTAATGCATATTTCAAGGGTTAATCTTTAGGGATTTCTTCATGTTAAACCAATTATGCTACATAAGATGGCACTTTCATACCATGATAGCTTCATGATAGCTTCACCATTTCTTTACAAACCATGTAACAAATTGATGAAGAAAGTAAAATAATTGTTGAAAAAAATGGAAAGCCGAAAGCATCAAAGCTAAAACCAATTAACTATTTTGCGTGAAGTAATTTTGTAACATTTAAAACGCTAAAAGCTAG